AGCAGCTTGTGGAGACCCAGGACAAGCAGCTTGTGGAGACCCAGGACAAGCAACTTGTGGAGACCCAGGACAAGCAACTTGTGGAGACCCAGGACAAGCAACTTGTGGAGACCCAGGACAAGCAACTTGTGGAGACCCAGGACAAGCAACTTGTGGAGACCCAGGACAAGCAACTTGTGGAGACCCAGGACAACCAACTTGTGGAGACCCAGGACAAGCAACTTGTGGATCCCAGGACAGGCAACTTGTGGAGACCCAGGACAACCAACTTGTGGATCCCAGGACAAGCAACTTGTGGAGACCCAGGACAACCAACTTGTGGATCCCAGGACAAGCAACTTGTGGAGACCCAGGACAAGCAACTTGTGGAGACCCAGGACAAGCAACTTGTGTAGACCCAGGACAAGCAACTTGTGGAGACCCAGGACAAGCAACTTGTGGAGACCCAGGACAAGCAACTTGTGGAGACCCAGGACAACCAACTTGTGGAGACCCAGGACAACCAACTTGTGGAGACCCAGGACAAGCAGCTTGTGGAGACCCAGGACAAGCAGCTTGTGGAGACCCAGGACAAGCAACTTGTGGAGACCCAGGACAAGCAACTTGTGGAGACCCAGGACAAGCAACTTGTGGAGACCCAGGACAAGCAACTTGTGGAGACCCAGGACAAGCAACTTGTGAGAACCCAGGACAAGCAACTTGTGGAGACCCAGGACAAGCAACTTGTGGAGACCCAGGACAAGCAACTTGTGGAGACCCAGGACAAGCAGCTTGTGGAGACCCAGGACAAGCAACTTGTGGAAGACCCAGGACAAGCAACTTGTGGAGACCCAGGACAAGCAACTTGTGGAGACCCAGGACAAGCACCTTGTGGAGACCCAGGACAAGCAACTTGTGGAGACCCAGGACAAGCAACTTGTGGAGACCCAGGACAAGCAGCTTGTGGAGACCCAGGACAAGCAGAACTAGTCAAAACTAACCAAATCTAACTTAAACTAATGTAATCTTAACTAACCCAATTTAACCTAACCTAATCCTAAGTTAATGTACATAATCTAATTAAATCTAAACTAACTTCCCTAACCTAACTTACTCTAACCTAATTTAAACAAACATGATTTAAATATAATAAAATCTAGCCTAAGCTAAGCTAACCTGACTTAAACAAACCTAACGTAAGATAAGCTAGCCTATCCTAAGTTAACCTAAGCTAACCTAACCTAACATAAACTAGCTTAACGTGAGAGATCTGGGAGTCATAGAATCACAATACTGTTATCACAAATGTAAGGAACATGAATGATAGGCTGGAGAAAGAAGAAAGATAGGAAACATTGAGCTGCAGACCATTAATACTAACATTCATACTAATTAATGTAATAGAGATAATCAGGAGAATGGTGGAACACCTGTGATGAACTGACTTCATATTCAGCACCAGTACGGGTTTAGAGAGCGCAAATGTTGTCTTACAAACCTGTTGGAAGTTTATGACAAGGTAACACAAGTAGACACGAGAGGGAGGATTACTTGGATTATATTTTCCTAGACTGCAAGAAGTCATTTGATACTGTAGCTCAGAGACTGAGGTAAATACTTCAGTACAGGCAGGACCAACTGCAATGTATTCCAGTGGGTCGAAGAATACTTTAGAGGAAGGATATAGTGATTATCAGATTGGGAATAAGTATCAAGTGGGATTTTGCAAGGATTGATAATAGCCATATCAGTCCTAAATTCACATACAGGGAGGCCCCACTTTACAGCATTATGATATGCAGCGTTTCGCTAATACAGCAGTTTTCAGTTATACCCATTCTTCATTTATTCAGACTTCCTACAGTAAATATATTCACCACTCACTAAGCTAAGGATGAATATATTTTAAGATAAGTAATGTGTGTACTGTATATGCATTTTTTTTAGTCCTAGCTGTATTGTTATCAGGCTTTTATATGCATTTGAAAGTAACAAAAAAGGCTATGTTTCACTTTACTGTGATTTTCGCTTTACAGCACTAGCCCAGAACCTGACCTGCTGTATAAGCGGGGCCCTTTTATACAGCAGTAGCCCAGAACCTGACCTGCTGTATAAGCGGGGCCCTTTTATACAGCAGTAGCCAGAACCTGACCTGCTGTATAAGCGGGCCCTTTTATACAGCAGTAGCCCAGAACCTGACCTGCTGTATAAGCGGGGCCCTTTTATACAGCAGTAGCCCAGAACCTGACCTGCTGTATAAGCGGGGCCCTTCTATACGGCAGTAGCCCAGAACCTGACCTGCTGTATAAGCGGGGCCCTTCTATACGGCAGTAGCCCAGAACCTGACCTGCTGTATAAGCAGGCCCTTCTATACGCAGTAGCCCAGAACCTGACCTGCTGTATAAGCGGGGCCCTTCTATACGGCAGTAGCCCAGAACCTGACCTGCTGTATAAGCGGGGCCCTTCTATACGGCAGTAGCCCAGAACCTGACCTGCTGTATAAGCGAGGTCCTATACGGCAGTAGCCCAGAACCTGACCTGCTGTATAAGCGGGGCCCTTTTATACAGCAGTAGCCCAGAACCTGACCTGCTGTATAAGCGGGGCCCTTCTATATGGAAGTAGCCCAGAACCTGACCTGCTGTATAAGCGGGGCCCTTCTATACGGCAGTAGCCCAGAACCTGACCTGCTGTATAAGCGGGGCCCTTCTATACGGTAGTAGCCCAGAACCTGACCTGCTGTATAAGCTGGGGCCCTTCTATACGGCAGTAGCCCAGAACCTGACCTGCTGTATAAGCGGGGCCCTTCTATACGGCAGTAGCCCAGAACCTGACCTGCTGTATAAGTGGGGCCCTTCTATACGGCAGTAGCCCAGAACCTGACCTGCTGTATAAGCGGGGCCCTTCTATACGGCAGTAGCCCAGAACCTGACCTGCTGTATAAGCGGGGCCCTTCTATACGGCAGTAGCCCAGAACCTGACCTGCTGTATAAGCGGGGCCCTTCTATACGGCAGTAGCCCAGAATCTGACCTGCTGTATAAGTGGGGCCCTTCTATACAGCAGTAGCCCAGAACCTGACCTGCTGTATAAGCGGGGCCCTTCTATACAGCAGTAGCCCAGAACCTGACCTGTATAAGTGGGGCCCTTCTATACGGCAGTAGCCCAGAACCTGACGTACTGTTGTATAAGCGGGGCTCTTCTATACGGCAGTAGCCCAGAACCTGACCTGTATAAGTGGGGCCCTTCTATACGGCAGTAGCCCAGAACCTGACGTACTGCTGTAAAAGCAGGGCCCTTCTATATGGCAGTAGCCCAGAACCTGACCTGCTGCATAAGTGGGGCCCTTCTATACAGCAGTAGCCCAGAACCTGACCTGCTGTATAAGCGGGGCCCTTCTATACGGCAGTAGCCCAGAACCTGACCTGCTGTATAAGCGGGGCACTTCTATTCGGCAGTAGCCCAGAACCTGACCTGCTGTATAAGCGGGGCACTTCTATTCGGCAGTAGCCCAGAACCTGACCTGTTGTATAAGTGGGGCCCTTCTATATGGCAGTAGCCCAGAACCTGACCTGCTGTATAAGCGGGGCACTTCTATTCGGCAGTAGCCCAGAACCTGACCTGCTGTATAAGCGGGGCACTTCTATACGGCAGTAGCCCAGAACCTGACCTGCTGTATAAGCGGGGCCCTCTTGTACCAGAAGAGACACGTATATGCCTGTTTACAGATGCAAAATTAATGAAGAGAATAAAAACCGATGAAGACAGTGAAGGCTACGAACGAACCTGGATAAACTGGTTGTTGAATTGTTGTTTGAGTTCAACCCCCAGCAAATATAAGGTTGTGAAAATTGAGAAATTGACAAGAAAACCAGAAACTGAGTATAAACTCGGGTGACAAAGGCAGCAACTCACTCTGATTAGAAAGAGGTGAGCACAGGGGCGAGCATATCACCTGAGACACACGTCAGCTCAGTAACCTGCTTTCGTTTTGCAGTCATTCCGCGGCCTTTATATAAGCTACGTCAGGCCCATCCTGGAGTACGCAGCACCATCCTGGAACCCACACCTGATAAAACATGTTAAGAAAATGGAGAAAATTCAGAGGTATGCGGTGCGGTATGGGGTTCTGTGGGAGCAATAAGGGAACACTGTATCAATATTCGTGGCCCCAGATTATTCAACATCTTACCAGAAGATATCAGAAACACTGCTGGAACAAGTGTAGAAATCTTCAAGAGGAAATTGGACAAGTATCTTTACCAGGTGCCAGATCAACCAATCTGTGATGGATATGTGGGTCATCGATCACCAACAGCAACAGCCTCTTTGACTAGGCAAACACCAGACAAGCCTGGCCCATGGCTAGGCTCCTTGAGTAGGAAAAACTCTCGAAACTCATCAAAGGTATATTAAAGGTAGCGAGACTTGGTCCAGAACTAAAGAAACTGAAATGGACGATTAGAGAGAGGACTTAAGAACCAGAGGAGACATGATAACAACATACGAAATGCTCGGGAGAAATTGAAAGGTTGGAGAGGGATAGGCTAGAGATACTTGAGGGTAGAGTTGGAAGTTAGAAATGCAAATGAGTCATGGGAATGTCAGGAAGTATTTCTTCAGAGGTAAGCACCATACACAGTTTTATGATAAGGTATGACAGGGCCTACAAGGCTAGGAGGGGGTGAATCTGGCAGGTGGTAACTTAGGAAGCCAGGAGCTGAGACTTAACCCCTGCAGTAACAAGTAGGTGAGTACACACACACACACACACACACACACACACACACAACGGGGCCAGGAGCTCGGACTCGACCCCCGCAACCTCAACTAGGTGAGTACACACACACACACACACACACACACACACACACACAAGAAAAAAGTTAAGTGTCTATCGACAATTCCTTTGACAACTAGTAGCTGCTGCTGCTGCTGCTGCACAATACAGTCAAAGCACGCCAGAACTGACAATATTTCTTGGTAGTAGGCTATACATTAACCGATCTTCGTTTCTGGTGTGGCAGGAGCAGCGTGGAAGGGAGGAGGACGCAGCCGCACCCGGCGCAGCCGCACCCGCAGGTTCCTCTACTCTCGCCGCTACACCATCGAGGTGATGGTGGTGGTGGATAACAAGATGGCTCGCTACCATGGCAAGCACTTCAACATTTACGTCCTCACACTCATGTCTGTGGTAAGTCCAGGACCAAAACGTTTTCTGATAAATATGTCCTGTTTACGTGTCTTACTAAACCAATTTGTTGGTTTATACCAAGTCATAATAATATACTCATTGCTTATAAGTATGACTATAATTTTTAGAGGGGTGAAGGGGTAAGCTAGTGGAAGGCCTCGGTCACATGACCAAAAGCTCCAGTTGTGGGTCATCATATGACTGAGACCCGCGTCAGGAAATACTTGTCCTGTTTCCTGACTAACCTTACTTAACCTAAACGTAATGTTACGGCTTGACAAAACTGCTGGAGAGCGAAACGTTGCCACAATAAAATGTTACATTAGTTGCATATGTGCCCGTTTACCAAACAGTGTAGCTGCTGTCCACATTTCGTTCACCCCTGGTTCATTATCACGATTTCTGGTGTGATGATGGTCTACGTTAGACTGAAACCTCGTCCAAAGATCAGGGAAAGAGTTGGGTTTCGAACCCAGGGCAAGTGAGTCGTAAAACTCACAGGCCAGTGTATTAACCACAGGGCCGAGCGGTTAACACACTGGCCTTTGAGTTTTACGACTTACTTGCCATGGGTTTAAACCCCACCCGTTCCGTGATTTGCAATTGTTATACGCTTTCGTGAGTCATTTATCCTGATTTTTTGAGCTACTTGTAAATTGTTCGTCTCGTAGTAACATTCTGGATTACCTGTGTGGGAACTTGAGATGCTCATTCTGGCAATCACTTTTTACAGAAAAAACCCAAGATATTTGTCCTGTTCTCACGAGCACCTCTATGGGTACACTTCTTTAGAGAATTAACTTCCTGACAGGAAATTCCTGCCTTTTTCCGTGCACAAACTATAACAGACTTGATGTGGGGTGAGTTAACCCTATCTAGAAATCCCCCTGAGTCTACCAGTGTATGAACTTCTAATGGCCCCTCCCTAGCTTAGATGCCACATGCACAGAAGGAATGGTTCCTGTAAACAGTTGAAAATTTAGTAATCGTAGCATACACTAGGGGTCCCTGTGTTCCTTGGGGTTACCCTAATATTTATGTACACGGTAAGATTACTAACTTCTGGCGTAATATTGAAGGAATAGTTAACCAGCAATCCTGGTTAATTACCTTGCTTTGGGCTTTGGCTCGCTGCTTACCACAAGCCGAACTATTTCTTCATTTCCCCAGTAATTTGGTGGTCACCTACATAGAGAAACATCAGGAATGAGTCTCACAAATGGGTCTGGCACAGAGACTATCGGCGGTCCGTCGGGGAGGTCTCTGTCTTTCACAATATATCTGATCTCATTACTTACTATACCGAAATACTAATATCTAAGCCTACATTATTAATTCTTATATTATGTAATAATTCAAGCCTACCTAAATCATTCTTAAGGCCTAAATTTCTCAATTAGTATGTTCATATTACGATTCCTCTCTGTATCTTACGATACAGCACTCACCATTACCGTGACCATGACCCTTAAATATATACATACGAACCAGGCAGTGGAATGTTTTGGTGCTAATAAATTTCCAGAACCTGTTTTTATTGTCAGTAGCAGAGTTATGTTCCTGGCCTCACACTTCCATTATTTCGCATTTTTACCATTATTTCCCACAATACAAGCAACAACAAACAATTCACTACTAGGTGAACAGGGCCGGCATCGCTAAGTACGTTTTCACTCTCCCTGACTGGGAATCGAACCGCGACAATGTACATTCATTACTTCTGCCCTCCTACAAATCTTGCAAAAGGACAAATCTTTTAAAATTCGAGGGAAAAAAATAGAGAATGGCATTCATGCGGGCACCTGGGTAATATTCCTGGAGCTGCTTACAGAGGATTGCAATGTAGAACTAGCAATACTACTCAGTATTCTTTGAAGAGATTTAGAGATTTTGTTACACAGGTCGCTAGTTTATTGTGTACCTAATATCTATCTTGTGGATGGTAGTGGCTAGTTTATTGTGTACCTAATATCTATCTTGTGGATGGTAGTGGCTAGTTTATTGTGTACCTAATATCTATCTTGTGGATGGTAGTGGCTAGTTTATTGTGTACCTAATATCTATCTTGTGGATGGTAGTGGCTAGTTTATTTGTGTACCTAATATCTATCTTGTGGATGGTAGTGGCTAGTTTATTGTGTACCTAATATCTATCTTGTGGATGGTAAGTGGCTAGTTTATTGTGTACCTAATATCTATCTTGTGGATGGTAGTGGCTAGTTTTATTGTGTACCTAAATATCTATCTTGTGATGGTAGTGGCTAGTTTATTGTGTAGCCTCATATCTATCTTGTGGATGGTAGTGGCTAGTTTATTGTGTACCTAATATCTATCTTGTGGATGGTAGTGGCTAGTTTATTGTGTACCTAATATCTATCTTGTGGATGGTAGTGGCTAGTTTATTGTGTACCTAATATCTATCTTGTGGATGGTAGTGGCTAGTTTATTGTGTACCTATATCTATCTTGTGGATGGTAGTGGCTAGTTTATTGTGTACCTAATATCTATCTTGTGGATGGTAGTGGCTAGTTTATTGTGTACCTAAATATCTATCTTGTGGATGGTAGTGGCTAGTTTATTGTGTACCTAATATCTATCTTGTGGATGGTAGTGGCTAGTTTATTGTGTACCTAATATCTATCTTGTGGATGGTAGTGGCTAGTTTATTGTGTACCTAATATATATCTTGTTGGATGGTAGTGGCTAGTTTATTGTGTACCTCATAATCTATCTTGTGGATGGTAGTGGCTAGTTTATTGTGTACCTAATATCTATCTTGTGGATGGTAGTGGCTAGTTTATTGTGTACCTAATATCTATCTTGTGGATGGTAGTGGCTAGTTTATTGTGTACCTAATATCTATCTTGTGGATGGTAGTGGCTAGTTTATTGTGTACCTAATATCTATCTTGTGGATGGTAGTGGCTAGTTTAGTGTGTACCTAATATCTATCTTGTGGATGGTAGTGGCTAGTTTATTGTGTACCTCATATCCATCCTGTGGATGGTAGTGGCTAGTTTATTGTGTACCTAATATCTATCTTGTGGATGGTAGTGGCTAGTTTATTGTGTACCTAATATCTATCTTGTGGATGGTAGTGGCTAGTTTATTGTGTACCTCATATCCATCCTGTGGATGGTAGTGGCTAGTTTATTGTGCACCTCATATCCATCCTGTGGATGGTAGTGGCTAGTTTATTGTGTACCTAATATCTATCTTGTGGATGGTAGTGGCTAGTTTATTGTGTACCTAATATCTATCTTGTGGATGGTAGGCTAGTTTATTGTGTACCTCATATCCATCCTGTGGATGGTAGTGGCTAGTTTATTGTGCACTTCATATCCATCCTGTGGATGGTAGTGGCTAGTTTATTGTGTACCTAATATCCATCCTGTGGATGGTAGTGGCTAGTTTATTGTGTACCTCGTATCCATCCTGTGGATGGTAGTGGCTAGTTTATTGTGTACCTCATATACATCCTGTGGATGGTAGTGGCTAGTTTATTGTGTACCTCATATCCATCCTGTGGATGGTAGTGGCTAGTTTGTGTACCTCGTATCCATCCTGTGGATGGTAGTGGATAGTTTGTGTACCTCATATCCATCCTGTGGATGGTAGTGGCTAGTTTGTGCACCTCATATCCATCCTGTGGATGGTAGTGGCTAGTTTATTGTGCACCTCATATCCATCCTGTGGATGGTAGTGGCTAGTTTATTGTGTACCTCATGTCCATCCTGTGGATGGTAGTGGCTAGTTTATTGTGTACCTAATATCCATCCTGTGGATGGTAGTGGCTAGTTTATTGTGTACCTCGTATCCATCCTGTGGATGGTAGTGGCTAGTTTATTGTGTACCTCATATCCATCCTGTGGATGGTAGTGGCTAGTTTATTGTGTATCTCATATCCATCCTGTGGATGGTAGTGGCTAGTTTATTGTGTACCTTATATCCATCCTGTGGATAGTAGTGGCTAGTTTATTGTGTACACCATATCCATCGTGTGGAAGGTAGCGCAAGAACATATGGATACACAAAAGGCCTATGAAATAGGTCCCAAAATCAAATCAAATCAAATCAAAGTTTATTCTCTATAAGGATTACAATGCAGGGTTTACAGATTTTGGTTATTGTGTGGTTTACATGTAGTAAAATACTAATTACAGAGGGAGCCACTAGAACACCTAGCATGGCTAGGCATTTCGGGCAAACTTAGATTAATTCTTAACCCTAAATTATAACAAATTGTGGAGTAAGTTGACTAAATACTAAGTGACAAATACTAGTTTGTGAGTTTAGCAATGTGAATGCTTTTGTTTTGGCACAGTACATAGTTTCTATATTGGAGTATTACAGGCAAACTTATGACTAGTTAGGAATCATTATTTTATGATTAGGATACGTATTTCTGTGCTTATAGTCAGATGGGTGAGTGAGTGAGTGAGTAAGTGTGGACCACCAGGTGGTTTTTATGTAGTTAGTTAATGGGGTGTGTCAGGGAGATAAGATGTTTTCTAACAGTAGTTTTGAAGGTGATGAATGTGTCTGCTGTTCTAGAGTTTTCAGGTAGAGTGTTCCAGATTTTAGGGCCTTTGACACACATTGAGTTTTTGTAAAGGTTTAGTTGGACACGGGGAATGTCGTAGAGATGTTTGTGTCTGGTGTTATGCATGTGGGTCCTGTCACAACTATCAAGAAAGCATTTTAGGTCAAGGTTAATATTGGAATTTAAGGTCCTGTATATATATATATATATATATATATATATATATTAATATATATATATATATATATATATATAAATATATATATATAGATTGCACAGTAGCAAGTGTGGATGTCTGAACAGGGAGTAAGTTTAGATCTATGAAGAGTGGGGGGGGGTGTTGCCAGGGATGGGAATTAGTGATTATTCTTATTGCAGCTTTTTGTTGAGTTATTACTGGCTTTAGGTGTATTGCTGCAGTTGTTCTCCAAGCACAAATAGCATTCGTGAGGTATGGATAAATGAGTGAATGGTATAGTGTGAGAAGGGCATTTTGCGGCACATAGTGTCGTATCTTGGAGAGGATCCCAACTGTTTTGGATACTTTTTTTGATGTGTGTTGGAAATGGGTGCTGAAATTCAGGTTGTTGTCGAGGTATAAGCCTAGGAATTTGCCCTCATTATGTCTGGCAAATAGTGTTGTCGATCTTAATGTTAAGTTGCGCAGCACCTGCTCTGTTACCAAACATAATATAGTAGGTTTTGTCAGTATTAAGTATAAGTTTATTGGCTGTCATCCAAGTTGATATTTTGAGCAGCTCCTCATTAACAATGGTGTTGAGGGTGGCAAGATTAGGGTGAGAGATGACATAAGTCGTGTCGTCAGCAGAGAGAATGGGTTTCAGGTGTTGGGATACGTTTGGAAGATCATTGATGTAAATGAGGAAGAGCAGGGGTCCAAGGACACTTCCCTGCGGAACTCCAGTATCAAGTGGCCGTGTTGATGATGCTGTGTCTTTAATGGTGACATACTGATACCTATTAGTAAGGTAGGATTCGAAATATGCAAGCGCATGGCCTCTTATACCATAATGGTCAAGTTTGTGGAGTAGGATGCCGTGGTCTACTGTGTCAAAAGCTTTTCTTAGGTCAATAAAAATTCCTAGCGGATATTCCTTATTTTCCAATTCTGTGTAAAGCAGATCTAGCATTTTTACAATTGCATCATTAGTGCTTTTATTTTTCCTGACTCCAAATTGGCAGGGGTTGAGTATGTTTTGTGCCATTATAAATGAATACAGTCTCCTGTGCACGAGTTTCGAAGATTTTGGATAGCAATGGTAAGTTTGATATTGGCCTATAGTTGTTTACATCTGTAGGGTCGCCATCTTTATGTATTGGTGTAATCCTTGCTGTCTTGAGTAGTGTCGGGAAGGTGCTAGTTTCTAGTGACTTGTTAAAAAGTATTGAAATAGCATGCGAAAAGACATGGGCCACTCGCTTGTACAATAATGGTGGGACATGAGACAGGTTCCCTGAGTTATTTTTAAGTGACTTTATAATCTCGGTGACTTCGGTGGGCTCAGTTGGAACAAGATAGAAGGAATTTGGGAAATTCCCATCTAGATAGTCCCCGGCATGGGCGTTGGTACGTGGGATTTTACTGGCAAGATTAGATCCTGTGGTTGAGAAGAAGTCGTTTATCTTGTTAGCTGTTTCAGTGGGATGTAGTGGTGTTTCATTAGGTTTAGTTAGGACAATATTCTTGTTTTTTTTCAGTTTGTGGGTGCCCAGAATCTGAGAGAGTGTTTTCCAGGTCTTTTTATATCTCCTCTTGTGTCAGTGAATCTGCTGGAGTAGTATAGTTGTTTGGCTTTCTTTATTACTTTGGCGAGAACTGATGAATAGTGTTTAAGAATATCTTTGTGTATTAAGCCCTGTCTATATTGCTTTTCATATTTGTGTTTCTTATCAATGGATTTCAGAATGCTGCTGGTTAGCCATGGGCAACCGAGTCGTTTATTTGTAATCTGTTTCGTTTTTATAGGACAATGTTTGTTGTATAGTCTAAGTAATTTGTTAAGAAAAATGTCTGTCCAATCGTCAATACCATTGGCCTTGGAGAATTCTGTAGGCAAGTCAACAGTCTCTAGGTCTGCTATGCACTTCCTTATTGAGGCCTCGTCATGGAGTCTAAATGAAACTTTGTTGTATTCCAGTGGTGGTTTACTAATGTTTGTTAAGAGGAAGGTAGGGTAGTGGTCTGTAGTGCTGTCTGTGATTATCCCTGATTTAAGGGGGGCTAGTATATTTGTCCATATGTGGTCTATTATGGTTGCACTTGTCTCAGTCAGCCTGGTTGGTTTAGTTATTGTTGGTATGAGAAGTGTGTTGTTCATATTGTTGATGAAATCGGTTACAGGCTGATCATCTAGTAGGCCAAGGTTGATATTTAAATCTCCAGCTAAGAGAAGGTGGTGCTTGTTTATTTGTCTGTTAGTTATTAGTGCCTTTAATTTCTCACTGAAATTTGGGATGTTTGTGTGGGGTATCAGGTAAATGTCACCGATTGTTATAGGTTTTTACAGTAAAATTAGCAAAAATGTATTCCCCATATTCATCACTAAAGCAAGGGTTTACAGGAGTACATTTGGTCCATTGGGTTTATGGTGAATTGTTCCAGCCAGGGCATTGGGATTTTTTTTATCCTCCAAGGTGGCGTTGATATTCCGTGACGCGAGCATCGGGAACCGCATCGACATTTCGGTGGTTGAGGTGGTACGTCAGGACCGACAGCAGTTCTTCACCCGGAGAGAACAAGAGAACAGTGCTGAGGTGCCGGGAAAGTCTGCCGAAGAGATGTTGAAAATGTTCTGTAAGTGGCAACATAAAGGTCTGAAGCGTAACTCCTCACAACAAAGCAGACGCTACGACACGGCTCTTCTCCTTACCAGGTGAGAACATCTCTCTCTAAATAAATAAATAAATAAATAAATAAAACACATGTGCAACAGTTAGGTATCTTTATTATGATACATTTCGCCTACACAGTTGGCTTCTTCAGTCGAATGCAGAGGTGCTAGCAGAAGCAGTAGGGATGTAAAGACGATGTAATCAGTTCGTCACCTTTGAAGACGTTGTTCTGAGGTGGTTCGTCCCTCAGTCTGGAAAAGAGTTCTACTCCATAGCCGGGAACATCTTTACATCTCCACTGCTTCTACTGCCTCTGTCTTAGACTGAAGCCTACTGTGTAGGCGAAACGTTTCCAGAATAAAGATACCCAAATGTTGCAAAAGTGTCTCATTTATCCATCGGGAGGCCTGGTCATGGACCGGGCCGCGGGGGCGTTGATCCCCGGAATAACCTCCAGGTAACCTCCAGGTATGTCGGTTTTGTAAACCATTTATTCTCAACTTGCCTGGGGTATACCTGGAGAGTGTTTCGGAGGTCATCGCCCCCGTGGCCCGGTCTATGGCCAGGTCTTGTGGTATATGTAATAAAAAACTCAGAGAACTCTTCCCTGTAATTGCTGCCCTTCTTCCCACCATCTTAAGTTACATAAATGTGAATAAAAAAGGCAATTTTTCACAAAAATCACTGCTGTTAGGACCACAAAGTTGGTCTATATTGTTAACATAATATTCATTATCTCTCTAGTCTTGCTGCAGCCTGACACAGGGTCAGGCTTGTTTGGTGTTTGACTCGTCTGTTATTACTATTATTTATATTAGCATATTTGTGTTACTAGCAGTAAGTGCCTAATTTCATTCTGTAGATATTGTTGACATGTAGAGGTCGCGCTGGGTACTTATTGAGGTTAAGTACCTAAGCCTTGCACGGTTGGGTTTATTGCTTGTGAACTAATTAATAAAAGCCTAGGCAATAAACAGTGCTTTTTATAAAGCAGACACGCATCTCCATATAATATAAAACACGTACATTCTACTGACTGAATGTACAGAAGCTACAGAATCGAGTGACCGACTGGGCCCGGGGGCACTGACCCCCCTGAAACACCCATTTACAGCTTCATAGAAGAAACCAGATTTAATAATTGAGAAATGAGAGGCAGGTTGTGTGCATAACAGTCTGAAATGTTGATCTTCTGCAGGGAGAATATCTGTCGTAACCCCAGGACGAAGAGCTGCGACACGCTGGGTCTGGCAGAGCTGGGTACCATGTGTTCCCGCCACTCGTCCTGCGCCATCGTGCAGGACAACGGTCTCTCAGCGGCCTTCACTATCGCCCATGAACTAGGCCATCTGTTAGTAGTTACCATCTAAAACTAACTAACTCGAGACAGTCCTTAACACCAACACCTGTCAGCACTCTTCGCCTGTCCTTCCTACACCGATGTGTCTTTCTAGCACACCTAGGTGTTTTCTAATAAACCTAGATGTCTTTCCACTTCATATAGATACTTTCTACACCTAGGCGTCTTTCTGCTTCGTCTAGGTGTATTCCTAATTCATCTAGGTGTGTCTACCCCTAGGTGTCTTACACTTCACCTAGGTAACTTATACAACACCTAGATGCCTTTTGTACTACAAAGTATCTTTCATACAACACCTAGGTGTGTGTACTTCACCTACATAACTTTCTACTGCACCTGCGTGTCTTCCTGCTACACCTATCAGCATTACCCATTTTTCACTACACCCAGGTACAGCACTTATTTTCCACTGCATCTAGGTGCAGTAGTTCCCAGTGCACCTAAGTACACTACTCATTTCGCACTACACCTAAGTACAGTACCTATTTCCCGCTACACTTAGGTCACCTAGATACAGTACCTATTTCCTGCTACACCTAGGTACAGTACCTATTTCATCCTGGACCTGGGACCAAGAGAGCATGTAGGCCAGGATGAATTACAGCAGTTGGATATGCTGAATGTTGAAGACAGAGTAAAACAACTGAAGTTAAATCATGTTTATAAAATTGCTCACAAACAATGTCCAGAATATCTTGCTGTCAATTTTGTCAAGGTTGGGAACCAAAGCAATCATAGTACTAGGGGGAGAGAGCACAACTTTGTAGTACCCACAGTCAGTGGCCAGGCTTCGAACACCTTTTATTGTACAGCAATAAAGGAATGGAACATACTACCCGCACATGTCAAAGCCAGTCATAGCATGAACCAGTTCAAGAAGAGTGCCAAAAGGTGTCTGATGAATGTAGCTACAGAAAGGGAGGGGAATGATTTATTTTTTTTTTTAGCTAACACACATGTAAATATAAATAACTCATTTTACCTTATTCCTAGTAAATTTCCTTCATAGTATAATAATTAGATATTATCTTCTTTATAGTATAATAATAAGGTATTAAAAGGACCTCAATGGAAATAAGTCACTTTGACTTTTTTGGGTTATCCCAGGTTCTCTACACATATACTGCTATGTATGATAATTTATGTAACTGTATTTGTGTATACCTGAATAAACTTACACCAAGGTCACCTAGGTACAGTACCTATTTCCTGCTACACCAAGGTCACCGAGGTACAGTACCTATTTCCTGCTACACATAGGTACAGTACCTATTTCCTGCTACACATAGTACAGTACCTATATTCCTGCTACACATAGGTACAGTACCTATTTCTGCTACACATAGGTACAGTACCTATTTCCTGCACCACATAGGTACAGTACCTATTTCCTGCTACACATAGGTACAGTACCTATTTCCTGCTACACCAAGGTCACCTAGGTACAGTACCTATTTCCTGTTACACCTAGGTACAGTACCTATTTCCTGCTACACCTAGGTACAGTACCTATTTCCTGCTACACCAAGGTTACCTAGTTACAGTACCTATTTCCTGCTACACCAAGGTACAGTACCTGTTTCCTGCTAGGTGAAAAGGTACATGTTAGGAACCTTGTCCACGAAACAGTCCCTATTTTTATTGTCGAATTAATTGTTAAGGTAAAGAAATCAATTCTATGTGCTGGATATACCTCGTATATTTTCAAATATGCTTATATATATATATAATATATATATATATATATATATATATATATATATATATATATATATATATATATATATATATATATATATATATATACACCAGGTTACACTTTTTTAATATTTTTTATTCACTGGGAAGCGCTAAAGCCTTAGGGGCCATTCGGTAGCTTGGGAGTGGGAGATAATGAGGTCTGATCCGAGGAAAGGGGATGGTAGCGCCAGTTTCTTGAGTCAGTGACAACCTGTTGATTGTAGGTCTCTATGCAATGTTTCGCCCGTTAGTGGCGTATTTATGATGGGTGAAACGTTGTGCCTTATTATTTCATTCAGGGGGAGCGCTAAGCCCATAAGGATTATACATACATTCAGGTTTGATCCACAAACTCTATTGAAAGGGTCACACCCTCCTAGTAAAGCCTATCTTGTTAAATAACATTTGTTGGGATTTTTAACCCCGGAGGGTTAGCCACCCAGGATAACCTGGGGGAGGCTTAGCCAGCCTGGATACCCTGGGGTAGGGTTAGCCACCCAGGATACCCTGGGGGAGGGTTAGCCACCCAGGATACCCTGGGGGAAGGATGGCCACCTGCCTGAAATACCCCAACATGATAGTGGCTTTCTTTGCTCTAATCATATTATATGTAAACACACATTGTAACCCTAGCAAAAGAAAGAAATATTTTATTTTTATTTATTTAGGATAACCTGGGGAGGGTAATACAGTGGACCCCCGCTTAACGATCACCTCCTAATGTGACCAATTATGTAAGTGTATTTATATAAGTGCGTTTGTACGTGTATGTTTGGGGGTCTGAAATGGACTAATCTACTTCACAATATTCCTTATGGGAACAAATTCGGTCAGTACTGGCACCTGAACATACTTCTGGAATGAAAAAAATATCGTTAATCGGGGGTCCACTGTAATTACCAATAATTACCCCGCCTACAAATGACCACATCTACAACTGCTGCATCTCACCATTTTCGCTGACTCCAGTATAAACGTCTCCATCCTCATATGTATATGTTAGATTGTTAAAGCCTGCTGTGAAGGCAAAAGGTTTCTCTACAGTCAACAAAGATACCCAGGTGTTGTACATGTTTAGTATGTAAGTTTATTCAGGTGTACACAAATACAGTTACATAGATTATATTATTGTCATACATAGCAGCATATGTGTAGATAACCTGGGATAACCCAAAAAAGTCGTCAAGTTGTCAACTCTTCTAGCAAAGGAAACTTTTAAACAAAATCTTTCTATACAATAAATATTTTTGTATTTTTTTTTTTTGTCTGAAGTAACTTTGCCCTGCCATTTGCCCAAGTCTCTGCGTGTTTCATTTGTTCGTACACTTTATTAAGCACATTTTTATTTAACCTTGAAATAACTTGGATACAATTAATACATGAGGATCTAGTCTCAGACTCATGGACTGTCACTGTTCACCTATAGGTTATTAATTTCTTCAGAAACGCACCCTCTTTTGTACAGGAAAAGTCTGGCTGTAAGAATAGGGTTTGTGTCTCCCCATAAGCAGACTGATAATTATCCACCCAGGGTAACCCAGGGAAGGGAGGGTTAGCCACCTAGGATAACCTGAGGAAATCAGTGTGTCATTGAGGACTGTTTGTCTTATATTCATATCTTGTCCCCCAGGACGCTACCCACAACTTTCCACTAATACCCAGGTACCTACTTATTGCTAGGTGAACAGGGACAGCAGGTGTTAGGAAACATGCCCAATGTTTCCATCCTTGACGGGATCGAACCACGGACACTCAGTATGCGAGGCGAGAGCGATGTCAACCGGGCCACGGGACACCGTTCAGGTTAAACATGTGGGAAAAACACTCATACAGTTCAGGACATGAACTGTACACAAGTGTCTTCTTCCAGATCTTGTCGGTATCGCCGTAACGTTGTCTCGTAGCTGGGTTGGTAGCGCACTCACCTCTCACACTGAGGTCCATGGTTCAGTCCCTGGTACGGGTGGAAACATTAGGATGTGTTTCCTTCAGACACCTGCTGTCCCTGTTCACCTAGCAGTAAACAGGTACCTGGGTGTTAGTCAACCGGTGTGGGTCGCATCCTGGGGACAAAATTAACATGAGTTGCAGGAAATGCTCTGCATAACCAGGGGCTTTCTATATGGTATGTCACTGATGTCAGCTATGGTCTGTTTAAGTTGTATCATTTAATTGTAGAAGATGATTCTTATTATTATTATTATTATAGTGTATAGTATGTCATTGATGTCAGCTAGGGTCTGCATAAGTTGTATCATTTACTTGTAGAAGTAAAGATTATGATTATTATTATTATTATATCATTGTTCAGGTTGAACATGCCCCACGACAACGACGACAAGTGCAGCCTGCTAGACAGCAGTGAGGATGGTAACCAGGGCATGAATGTAATGAGTCGTATGCTAGACCACAACACACTGCCCTGGGAGTGGTCCAACTGCTCCAGACACTTCCTTACAGAGTTTCTGCAGTGAGTATGTCTGCCTTACCTGGAGGGTGTTCTGAGGATCATACCGGGTGCAGGGAGCCTCTGGTTACTTGTATGAGTAAGACCCTCGTCAGGAAGCACTTGTCCTGTTTCCTGACAAATCTTACGTAAGCTAAGATTACCTTTATGTTGGTTCTAGTATGTACTTAGTTGTAGCTGCATGGTTTAACTCTCATCTTCCAGTTCTGCCCCTCTGATGTATGCTTATGGTTATAATCATAACCAAAATTTTTGCAGCGGTGGAGGGGTAAGCCAGTGGAAGTACAGTGCCTGCATTCTGAAGGAGGGGCGAAGATGTGTTACAGTTTTTGTACTGTAGTGTAGGCATGCATCTGGCAAGACAGTGATGGAATGAGTGATGATGAAAGTGTTTCCTCTTTTTCGGGTCTGCCTACCTCTGAGGGAAACGGCCGATGTGTTAAAAAAAAGTACTTCCATTCATATAACAACATTACGTAGGATAAATTAAAAGAATGTACAGTGGTACCTTGAGTTACGAACTTAATTCGTTCCAGAAGGCTGTTCGAGTGCCGATACCTAACGAATTTGTTCCCATGAGGAGTAATGTAAATTACATTAGTCCGTTTCAGACCCCCAAAAATACACTTAAATAAGCACTTACAAAAATACACTTACATAATTGTTCGAGTTGGGAGCAGTTCGAAACTCAAGGTACCACTGTATTTTTAATTATTATTGAAATTATAATATCCATCCTGTGGTGGAAATGGTATTTTATTGTGTACCTCGTATCCTTTTCCTGGGGAAATGGTTTAGTGGCTATTTTATTGTGCCCTTTCATATCCATCCTGTGGAGGTAGTGGCTAGTTTATTTTTGTATCTCTTATCCATCCTGTGGGGGTAGGGGCTAGTTTATTGTGTACCTTTTTACCCAAATCCTGTGGATAGTAGGGCTATTTTTTGTGAAACACCAACCCAAGGGGTGTGGAAGGTACGCAAGAACATAGGGGATCCCCAAAAAAGGCCTAGAAATGGCCCCCAAAAACAAATAAAAATAAAATAAAATTTTAAATTCTCTAAAAAGGTTTTACAATGCAGGGTTTACAGTTTTTTGGTTTTTGTGGGTTTAAAATGAAAGTAAAATACAAATTTAAACAGAGGGACCCCACAGAACACCTAGCTTTGGCTAGGTTTTTCCCCGGGAAAAACTTAGTTTAAATTTTTAAAAACCCAAAATTATAACAAATTGTGGAGAAAGTTGACAAAAATTACTAAGTTGACAAATAAGTTTGTGATTTTGCAATGTGAATCCCTTTTGTTTTGGCACAGTAATATTTTCCCCTTTTTGGGAGTTTACAGGCAAACTTATGACTAGTTGGGAAATTTCATTATTTTTTTTTTAGGTTTCGTTTTTCCCTGGCTTATGGTCAGAGGGGTGAGTGAGTGATTGAGTAAGTGTGGACCACCAGGGGGTTTTTTATGTATTTTTAGTTAAGGGGGGTGTGTCAGGGAAAAGATGTTTTCTAACAGTATTTTTTGAAGGTGTTTAATTTGTGCCCTGCTTTTCTAGAGTTTTCGGGTTAGAGTGTTAAAGTTTTTAAGGGGCCTTTGACACCCCATTGGGGTTTTTGTAAAGGTTTAGTTGGACCGGGGAATGTCGTGGGTTTTTTGTGTCTGGGGGTTAGGCTTTGGGGGTCCTGTCACAATTCAAGGAAAGGCCCAATTTTAAGGTAAAGGAAAAATTTTGGAATTTAAGGCCCTTAATAATATATATAATATATATTTATATATAAAAAATATATATATTTATATATATATAAAATTTAAATAATAAATAATTCCCACAGTAGCAAGTGTGGATTTTCGGGAACGGGGAGTAAGTTTAGATCTATGAAAGTGGGGGGGGGGTGTTGCCGGGGATGGGAATTAGTGATTATTCTTATTGCAGTTTTTTTGTTGAGTTTTTAACTGGTTTTGGGTGAAAGGGGGGGCAGTTGTTCTCCAACACAAATACTTTTCGGGGAGGTAGGGGAAAAAATTTAGTGAAGGGTATAGTGTGAAAAGGGGCATTTTTCCCCGGGCCACATAGTGTCGTATTTTGGGAGAGGTTTCCCAAACCTGTTTTGGATATTTTTTTTTGATGTGTGTTGGAAAGGGGTTGCAAAATTTTTCAGGTTGTTGTCGGGGTAAACCCCTAGGAATTTGCCCTCTTTAAAGTTGGAAAATAGGTTGTCGTTTTTTAAGTTAATTTGGGGCAGCCCCTGCTCTGTTCCCAAACATAATAAAAGTGGGTTTTTGTCAGTTTTAAGTATAATTTTAAATTTGGCGTCATCCAATTTGGGATTTTTTGACCCACTCCTCTTTTAACAAGGGGTTTTGGGGTGGAAAGATTGGGGGGGAGAGTTTGACATAAGTCGTGTCGTCAGCAGAGAAAATTTGGGTTTCAGGTTTGGGAATAGGGTTTGGGAAGATCATTAAAGAAATTTAAAGGAAAAGGCGGGGGCCCAAGGACATTTCCCCTGGGGAAAACTCCATTATCAAGGGGCCGTGTTGATATGCGTGTCTTTAATGGTGACATACGATAACCTATTTTTTAAGGTAGGATTCGAAATATGCAAGGGCAGGGCCCCTTTTATACCATAAGGGGTCAAGTTTGGGAGTAGGATGCCGTGGTCAACTGGTCAAAAGCTTTTTCTTGGGGTTCAAAAAAAATTTCCTAGCGGATATTCCTTTTTTTTCCAATTCTTTTAAAAAGCAGATTTTAGCATTTTTTACAATTGCATCTTTAGTGTTTTTTTTTTTTCCTGACCCCAAAAATTGGGCAGGGGTTGAGAAATGTTTTGTGCCATTATAAATAAATTTACAGTCTCCTGGCACGATTTTCGAAGATTTTGGTTAAAAAAAAGGAAATTTTTGATTTTGGGCCTATAGTTTTTTTTAAAATTTTTGTGGGGGTCGCCATCTTTAGTATTGGTGAACCCCTTTTGTGTCTTGAGTGTGCCCGGGAAGGTGCTTTTTCAAGTGATTTGTTAAAAAGTATTGAAATGGGCTTGCGAAAAGACATGGGCCACTCGCTTGTACAAAAAAGGTTTTAAGGGACATGAACATTTTCCCTTTAGTTATTTTTAAGTGATTTTTAATAATTCGGTAAATTCGGTGGGTTCAATTGGAACAAATAGAAGGAATTTGGGAAATTCCCATCTAGAAAAGCCCCCCGGGGCATGGGCGTTTTTTACTTTTGGGATTTTCGGGGAAAGGGTTTAGATCCTTTTTTTTAGAAAAAGCGTTTATCTTTTTAAACTGTTTCAGTGGGATGTAGTGGTGTTTCTTTAGGTTTATTTTAGGCCCAATATTCTTGTTTTTTTTCATTTTGGGTGGGTGCCCAGAATCTGAAAGTTTTTTTCCAGGTTTTTTTTATTCTCCTCTTGGGGTCAGTAAATTCTGCTGGAGTAGTTAGTTTTTTTTGGTTTTTCTTTATTATTTTTGGGGGAAAAACTGATGAATAGTTTTTAAAAGAAAATTTTTTGTGTTTTAAACCCCTTTGTCAAATTTTTGCTTTTCATATTTGTGTTTTCTTATCAATGGATTTCAAAAGGGCTGCGGGTTTAAACCATGGGAAACCGGGGCCGTTTTTTTGTAATCTGTTTCTTTTTTTATGGGGACAATTTTTTTTTGTAAAATCCTAAGTAATTTGTTAAAAAAAATGTCTGTCCAATCGTAAATTTCCCTTTGGCCTTGGAAATTTTTGTAGGAAAGGCCCAAACAGTCTCTGGGCCCCTGCTATGCATTTCCCCTTAAATTGGGGGGGGGGGGCCTCGTCATGGATCTAAATGAAATTTTTTTTTTGTATTCCAGTGGGGGTTTTAAACTAAGTTTGTTAAGGGAAGGTAGGGTTAGTGGTTTTTTGGGTGGTCTGTGTTTAAACCCCTTTTTTAAGGGGGGGCTAGTATATTTGTCCAAAATGTGGTCTTTTATGGTTGCACTTGTCTCAGCCCAGCCGGGGTTGGTTTAGTTATTGTTGGTATGAGAAGTTTTTGGGTTATTTGTTAAATAAAAACCCGGTTACAGGTGATCATCTTATTAGGCCAAGGTTGATTTTTAAAAATTCTCCAGCAAAGGGAGAAAGGTTTGGTGCTTTTTTAAATTTGTCTGTTAGTTATTAGTGCCTTTAATTTCTCACTAAAATTTGGGATTTTTTGTGTGGGGAAACCGGAAAAAGGGTCCCCGTTTGTTATGGGTTTTTTCCCGAAAAAATTGGAAAAAATGTATTCCCCATTTTCCCTCCCCAAAAAGAAGGGTTTACAGGGGGTAAAATTTGGCCCATTGGGTTTATGGGGGAATTTTTCCGGGCCGGGGGCTTTGGGTTTTTTTTTTTATCCTCCAGTGGGTTGATTTTCCCCGTGCGCAAAGCATCGGGAACCGCATCACTTTTCGGGGGTTTGAGGTGGAAACGTCGGGAAACCAAACAGCAGTTCTTCACCCGGAGGGGAACAAGAGAACAGTGCTGAGGTCCCGGGGAAAAGGGTCTGCCAAAGAGATTTTGGGAAAATTTTTCTGAAAGTGGCAACATAAAGGTCTAAAGGTAATCCTCACAAAAAAAGCGGGACGTCCCGACCCGGCTCTTCTCCTTACCAGGTGAGAACATCTCTCTCTAAATAAATAAATAAAAAAAAAAATTTAAAAACACATGTGCAACATTTGGTATCTTTTTTTTATAATACATTTCCCCTAAAACGGGTTGGCTTTTTCAGTCAAATTTCCCAGAGGTGTAGCAGAACAAGGGATTTTAAAGAAGAGGGAAAACAGGTTCGTAACCTTGAAGAGGGTTGTTCTGAGGGGGTTTTGTCCCCAGCCCGGGAAAAAGGGTTTCTACTCCATAGGGGGGAACATCTTACTTCCCCCCTGCTTCTACTGCCCCCGTCTTAGACGGGGAACCCTACTGTGTAGGCGAAATTTTCCCAGAATAAAAGATACCCAAATTTTGCAAAAAGTGCTCTTTTAAAACCATCGGGAGGCCGGGGAAGGGCCCGGGGCCGCGGGGGCTTAACCCCCGGGAATAACCCCAGGTAACCCTCCATTTTATGTCGGTTTTGTAAAAAATTTATTCTAAAAACTTTGCCGGGGTATCCCTGGAGAGTTTTTCGGAGGTCTTTCCCCCCCGTGGCCCGGTCTAGGCCGGTCTTGGGGGTATATGTAAAAAAAAAACTCAGGGGAACCTTCCCTGTAATTGCTCCCCTTCTTAAAAACCATCTTAAGTTAAAATTAAATGTAAATAAAAAAGGCAATTTTTCACAAAAATCCTGCTGTTGGG